TTCCTCAACAAAATAAATATCTTACTAGAAAAATTAAGGGCTGATTCCATTGTGATTCAAATAAATTAAATTGAAAATCTATTAAACATTTGTTATATTTATGTTGAGGAAAATTATATCGCAATAACTTCTGTTGTCGTTTTATCGCCCAGCCGTATGCTGTATACACAAGAATAACTATTAATGCAGATAGACATGATGCGGTAGGGATGATCTAGTTTGAGACAAATCAAAAATAAGAGCTTTGTTGTGTAACTGGCAGAATTAGCCCTGGATCAAGTAGGAGGCACAGACAAAGGAGAAGCGAAAGTGTAGGAATGTTGTCCTTTGTTGTCAAGCTGATTAATGAATTGCCCCTGTAGACCACAGCTGGAGCTCTTGGCATAATGATACAGGAGCAAGTGTGTGTATGTGTACCTTGGGGGGCGGGATTGTGTTTCAAGAGTTGTGCAGGAATTGGTAATAGGGGGTAATGTGTGTATTTGCACAAGGTGTGTTTATGTGATGGGCTTGAAATTGGATATTAAGGTTGTGTGCTTACGTGCTCCTTTTTGTCTCCTGCAGTCTGGACCGTTCATGTATTAACTATTGCGTGTATTTTTGTTTTTTGTACAGATGAAACAATACAACGCGTCAATCAGTGAGATGGCGGTAGCTTCATATTTACTGTACAGACTCGTCTAACCATCTGCACGAAAGTGAGAAAATGTTGAACTATTCGTTACTGCTGTGATTCCCCATTCTTTTTCTTTTTGATTAGAAAAAGCTGTAACACCTAAATACCATGTGTTACGAGCTAGCTAGTTAGCTAGAAGTAATGAAAAATTAGAATACTTTAGCTATTTATCCATTCATTTAGCTATATATCCAACCCTCCATCCATTACTTTCAGCTTAGTCCGTAACAGATAAATTGTTTAAATATACCTAAATATATCAAATAGTTAGTGAGCTATAGTAATAAATACATGGTTGAAATGCCTAGCTTCTGCTAATAATAAGTGATAGTAGTGCAAATGTAAATGTGACCAAACTGGCCTAAACATTAGTTCAATTGTATGAAAACATCACAACAGTTAGTATTGTTAAAGAACATCCAGTTTATTCTGATTAGCTTGTTTGGGGTCTCACCTTCAGAGACACTGGCCAAACTTCTTGCATGAATGCCCGCCTGATGTTTAACCCACACTGAATTGATCATGTTAATAATTTAAATACAGCACCTTCAGTGTGTGCAGTAAACGTAAAGGAAAGCATCTTACAGTAGAAAGTGTCCTGTGGGTGCTTGTATGCATGCATGCATGCAGTGCACAGTTTACAAGCATTACTGGATTATGGCTGTGCAATGTGCATAAATAAATAAACGTGTTATTGCATACAGTACACATAACTTCCGTTTGATTGGCTAAATGGGTTTTCAGTGCATGCTTCTGTATGCAAAGGCAAAGTTTCCCTGGTAACAACAAATTCACACATCACACACAGCTCAGCAAGATTTTTTTTTTCTTTAGATACAACCTCCTTCTTTTGCCCTACTATGTCCTTCTATGCCCCTCCATCAGTTAAGGACAGAGTTTGGAAGGTTTCCATTGTATACTCGATGGTGCTAGCAGCTATGGAGGGGGATGGACAGGGAGATGGAGAAGGGTATATGGCCGGGAGGAAAGCAGACCCAAGGGACAGGCATCCGATGTGTTGTAAACCATAATGGCCCCATAACAGGCAGATTTCTCATTTCCACGATGCTCAGGCCATATCTCTTCTATCACCATGACAATCCCACTGAGACCCATACGATGCGGGACAGCACAGTCAGCATTGGAGGAGGGGAAGTGGGACCTAGTGAGGTGGTGATGGCGATGAATTTCACTGGCACATTATTCAGGGACAGGGACCCAAAAATTCTTTAAAGCTTTGATTTGATTCCTCCCCAACTCCGTGAAGGCAAAGGGTCGCGATTAGTCCGGCTTTTAGGTAATTTTTACATTTCAGCCACGCGGATTTGTCCATGTCTTGTTTTGGTGTTTTTCCTTCTCGAGACCGCTTACTACATCAACCATTTCACCATTACAAGAAAATAAGTAACTAGCCGTTACTAATGTTTGTTGCCTCTTATTTGATGTATTATCATTCATAAAATATAGATCAGAAGGTGTGTACACATAAAAAGGCTAGTGGCTACTAATGTCTCTGAAGTCATGGTATATTAATGAAGAGTGGGCAAAGCAGAAGCCACCAGCAGCCTGGCTAACAGAAAAGCCTGAGGTTAACCTCTTGATTCATTTAGCACGTCTGGATGTCTCTGAGCTGCAGGAGACCACCTGACCTCCTGTTAATATGTGCATTATAGAAGAGTGTATTGCTGATGGGGTAGATAAAATAACTTGTTCTTGGAAAAGGTGATAAGGTCTAACTTTGTATTTTAAATGAGAAACATTTTTTACACTAAATATGGCTAGCTTAGCTTAGCATAAACACTGGAAACAGGGAGAAACCTAGACTGCGTCTGTCCAAAGGTCCGGACTTTATCCAAAATTCGCCTACCATTTTCCTCTGTTATTTCTGGTTGTCCCCACCCCCCATTCCTGTTCTCTTGCAGGTGTTGTCTTTTCTCTGTAGTGTCTGTTTGTGCGGTGTTTGTGTACCCCCATCCCCGATTCTACCCCCCTGTCCGGCCCGGTGACAAATCAATACATATTTAAATAAATAATAAAACATTCAAAGGAGTATATTAATACTTTCTTGCTTAAGTAAAATCTGTCTGGCACAACATGGTATCCAGCTCCTCATACTCTATACCATGCTGGGTAGGACAGGTTTAAAAAAAAGAAAGAAAGAAAGAAGGAAAATTTTCCTACCAGCACCACTTAAGCTCACAATTTAACAAGTTACATCTAATTTGTTTATTCCAAAGCAAAACTTTGTTGTGGATTTACAGATAATTATGTGCTGTAACTATTTCTTGGCCAAGGTCAGTGATTAAGCTTGTTTCCCAATATGTCAAAGTATTCCTTTCGTGTTTCTGTACGTCCCTGTTTTTAAAAAACACCAAGAGTCTGCAGCCACGTTAGCGACTCAGCTAGGCCTTACCTGGGCACAGCAGCGCTTTGAGCTTAACGCTAATGTCAGCATGCTTACATGTAGATGTTCAGCTGATATGTGGTTGTAGTTGTTGAGACTTAGCACTCAAAACCAAAACAGTCAACCACATGGTAGCACAAGAGGAAAGGTCATGGGATCAGCAAAGTTATTAGGATTCCTCCTGGGAACAATGAATGTCTGCACAAAATTTTGTGCCAAACCACCCAAAAGTGGTAAAGTGTCACGAGGCCCCGGCTGTGAGCTTGGTGTGAGTGTTGTGAATGTTGTCTGGAGTGCGTGGTGTGAGCTTGTTGTGTTTTTGTTTGTCTGTCTCTGCTTGGCTTTCTCTCTCCAGTCTGGGAGCTGGGGGCGTGTCTGCTTCGGGTTCTGCTCACACCTGAGACTCATCCTCATCCTGCAACCGCCAGCCAGGAAGCTCTCTGTTCTGCCCGCAGCCTGGACGTTGCCCCGCTCCCAGTCCGCCAGCAGCAACCTCGGATTTCCACCTACCCTGCATCTGGAAGGGAGCCTCTTCCTCCAACCTCTGACTTCCCCTGCTTATTCTCTTTGGATAAACTGTATTTTACTTAGATCTGCGTTTGGGTCTTCTCTGCCTGGAAAACCTGACATAAAGATTTGAAACTGGACATGTGGTGGATCAACCAACCTACACAAATGATACACCAATCGGCCAATTATCTTAAACGGCAGTAAATCTGATTTAAAACCACAAACGAACCTAATAATTTTCTAATTTGTTAATTAATACAAATTAAGATAACCATGTATATGATGTTAGTACTCTGGATGCCGTAATGGAATTATACATGACCCTTCTTTGTTTTTATATCACATTATATATCGGCCGTTGGCCACCGTGCCTCTAAATATCGGCATCGGCAATTGAAAAGCCCATATCGGTCGACCACTGACTGACACTGCCATCCCTTAGAGCCACGCCGCTATTTTGACTTAAAAGCATTCCTACAGTATAAATTCACTGCAACCTCCTGCTATTTTTTTTTGTTTTTTTTTTTGTCATTGCTGCTGTAGGCCTTACTCTCATCTCTGCGGCTGTCAGTATTGGATTGCCTCGACCTTCTACAGAGAAGTAGTGCGTCAGAAATGGCATAGTTTTAAAAAGCAGTTTTACAGCAGACAGTGATGTATTGTTTTAATAACATTCTGGCTCCTTTAAATCTCATCATGACCAGAGATGTAAATGGTCTGCAGCCCGTTTCCAGTCTTTCTGACCACTCAAAGCTCTTTTACACTTCATCACGTTCACCCCAGTCAATGTGGTGTTCAGTATCTTGCCCAAGGGTAGATGCAGACTGGGGGAGCAGGGGATCGAACCACTGACCCCTAAGTGGCTCTACCCCCCTGATCCACAGCCACACAGCCTGAGATGTTTTCAGCTCTCTTTTTCCTGCATAACTTTAAACTTTCATTCACCTTTAACACTGACATACACACACGTGCACCAGTAACCAGCTAACCGCTCTTTCTCTATTACCAGCTCTGACCTGCGATGTTACATGTGCTCCAGGAGTGCTCGATCAATAGCCATATATCATTAACCCACATCCAGAGTGTGCTGAGCTGGAAGCAGGCAGCCGAGCATCCTTACACACTCACACACACAGCCTCCCTCCTTTTTCCTTCAATGTTTGGGTCAGGTTCATGTCCTCTACATCCATTCACAAAGAAGAGGAAAGGAAGGGAGGGGAAGGAGGAGAGAGGAGGGAGGAATGGATGGACAGAGGGAGAGAGAAGGGGAGGGATGGAGAGGGAAAACAAGCTTTGAATACAAATGAGCTGACACACATAATGCATGCCCTCCCTTCCTCCCTCTCACTCTCTCTCTCTCTCTCTCTCACACACACACACACACACACGGATACACACTAACTCCCTCACACACATGTTCTTGCACTCCCTCCTTCTCCTCAGTGTCTCCTCATTGGACCGTACACTGCACAGGAGGTAATTTCAGCCACTTATTTTATTAGTCATCGCTGGTTGCTGGAACCAAGCTAATTAAAAGTGTGTGCGTGTATGTGTGGAAGATTTGGAGACACGGACGCTGTCGCTGCCGCCGCCGTCTCTCACGTTTCGCTGTGGACCAGGAGGGAGCCGGGGAGAGCAGAGGGAAGGGAAGACGAAGGGGAGAAAGAGAGGAGAGACAGACAGCTGGGTGGAAGGAGATTTTCACACCACTTTACCATCATCTGATCTGACATGGCCACCGCATAGGAATCCGGTGCCACGGCAACCGTCAAGGGTGTCCGAGGTAAGGGGCTAAGGAATGCCGAGGTGATGTGAGCAGCCGGGTCTGCCTGGGGGGCCAATGCAGAACAGGCTGTTTGTGGAAGTCACTGTTTTGCATTTTCTGCACATTAAGTAGATCTGTGGTTACGTGCTTCTTCCCCGGGTCTTTGAGTGTGCCTGTGGGTGTGTGTGTTGTGGTGGGGGGAGTGTCTCTCTGTGGTATTCTTTGTTTTGCACTGGTATTCCCCAAACACAAGCCCTAATTACCCAGCACAGGGTAAATCCTTTCATGGTTTTACTATCCTTCTTGACTTTGCTCGATTAATGGCAGGGTTTGCCATACAGTCAGAGGAGTGAGATGTTTGTTGTTTGTTTGTGACTCAACTTAGGTGTCAGGACAAGTGCATTGTTTGTGGTTGTATCCTGTGTGTTTATCTCCCTGTTTGCACAAGAAGTATGGTTTCTTGTACTGCATTTAGAATATATGTGTGAGTCTAATGATGCATGGGGTCTGGGTTAAAAGAAATTGGTGTGACAATGACAGGGCAAGAATGACCACACAGCACACACACACACACACACAACAAAAAATCCAAAGCAACATGAGAGCTGATGGATGCGAGCCTTTGCTCAGATCAACAGTGACAGCACTGGGCTGCAGGTAAATGGTCAAAGAAAGAGAGCCTATTTCCATCGCCGCTCCACACTGGAAAATTTTCTGCAGTCAAAGTCTTGGATATTTAGGTTATGGCAGAATTATCTCTCTGGATGTAGCACACAGAAATACAAGAATGGCTGACTGACAGTTGGCATTTTAACGCTGCATTGCTGCTGCACCTTCTCTTCTGTTGCTGCTGCACAAATGTGGATTTATGCATAAAAGTATACGGTGAGGTGATGTTGTACTCTTCAAGAGCAATGTTTGGCAAGGCAGAAATAACTAAAAACAAGCATGATCCAGATTGTTGTGCCCAATTAGCCTTTGTGTGCGTGTGTGTGTGTGTGTGTCTGTGTCTGTGCACATGAACAGGCCTGTGTACTGTATGTCCTGGGGCAGGGTGGTGGACTGCAGAGGCACGAGAGAGGACATATGGCTGCCTGGGTCTCTACCCCTTCACTGGAATCGTCAGAGAAGCAGGGGATTCAAATACCCTGCTGTTTGTGTGTGTGTGTGTGTGTGTGTGTGTGTGTGTGTGTGTGTGTGTGTGTGTGTGTGTGTGACATTGCTAACTCAACTTTCCCCTCTGCAGCTTGCTTTGCTCCCCATCTCCACCATTTTGCTTTCAGTTCCCTCATGTTTTTAATCTGATTGGTTTGCTGTGGGTGTGTGTCTCAACTGTCTCATTGGCTCTAATCTATTTGTCTTTGTTTCCCCCCTCATACAACACATGCCCGTCTATCCACCCATCTGTGACAGATTGGTTTGATTTTCTCTGATTGATAGATGGACTATCAGATTAGGCCCGTTTTCACTTGGCCCCCTCTAATCAGATCAAAACCAGCTGGACTGCCTCCTCCTTCCACAAATACACACACATGAACACAAATCAGTGCATTTTAACCAGCGTTTGGCAGTAACATGGTACTTATTAATGTAAAATTTAAGCTATGTAAAGGTGATTACTTTTTTCAGTAGTTAGTATCACCTGAAGTCTGTTTCTCTCTTTGTGTTTAGTGGAAAGACTGTACTGGGACATGTTAGCGTAGCGTAGGGGCTGGGGATGTGGTTAGGATATTTAGCCTCTATCCAAAATTGTCTGATTTGTTTTTACCTAGCAACTTCCCAACATTAGCCACTAGTAAGGACTCACCTGGGTTTTGTTCAGAGGTGGAGGGTGTGCGAACCCCTCTAGCTTCAGCTATGTGGATGTGTCTACTTGAGTGATGCATGGAGTGGCTCTACTGGCAATAACTGATTTTTTTTTTTTGGACTACTTGGAGCTGAAACAAGTCTTGAACATGACATTGACATATCACCTATAGTCCAATATTCACTCTTTTTCTATTAACAGCAGTGACAGAGAACCAAAACAGTAAAGTTGTGGGCCGGAGAGGGAAACAATGTGTTGAAACTCTGTAAAGCCGAGGGGCTTCAGGTGATAACTCTCTGTAGGTTCATCACTATGAGAGACCCCTTTGACATTGACAGCATCGTTTTCACATTGTCATTGGCTACATTGTTATTATAAAATATTTTTGATTATGTACTGCATCACTGACAGAGCTTTGCTGAGTAACAAAACCAAAGGGGGACAGTAACATTAAGAAGATCTGTGTAAGCCTCAAGCTCATTTTCCAAGTCTGCACATGGAGCAGTGGCCAGATCTTCTCATACTAATTAAGCTGAAAACTTGTCACCGAAATCAGCACTCAGAGGACGCTTCAGAGAAATATTCACCTACACTAAATGTGCGTGGGACAGCTCAGAAGTCTACATACACCAATTGGGAATGTAACAAGCTTTAGAATTCCCCTTATTTTGGTGAGAGCATCCCTTGCTTGGTGTCCTACTTATCATTATCTTTATTAATCATCAAACTCTTCACCGCCTCATTTCTGGCCACCCGAGTGGTTTCTCCCAAAACATAGTTTGGTCTTCAGGAGATCTGCCACCACCAACTCACAGCTCATGCGTGTACTTTCTCAGCCGGTGGCCCAAACTGTGGGAGCCTCTTTGTACTGCCTCCCGCTGAGGGAATGAAACACAAGTAACACTTCCCATTAGCCTCTACGGAGAAGAAACAGGAATGATTCCTCCCTCTGTCTCTATTTCTCTTACTCTCACTGTTGGTTTCCATTACCTTGGGCTTCTGCTTGTTCATCCTGACAGCTACTTTTTTTTGACAGGTCTCTCACACACACACACACACACACACACACACATTGTGCACACGCACAAAGCCCAACCAACCTTCTCTAAAAGCAGTCTTGGTTGGCACATCGTGTTGTTCTGAGGGCTGCTAAGAGCTTGGCTTCATGCCTTATTCATCCCTCAGGCCTATACTTTCCACCAGCGTACAAGGAATTAGGAGGAAGAAAGCTCTCTGGCACATAACACACAACTCACCAGCAGAATAGAGGTCAACCTGTCAACTTCTCAGAAACAAATTTTTTTTTCTACCTGTCCTCTCCTCTATATATTGTATGTTTGTTTAAACTGTGTCCAACTTGATAACAGATGATTCAGGGTCCATGTGAAGCCTCTGAAAAAAGAAGTTTGTGTTCAGCAGTGTGATGGATAAAAACCTGAAGACCAACACTAAATCTGGCTAACTCCTACTCTCTGGGATCACACTGTACATATTGCTTGCAGTTCTTCCCTTTTATACAATGTTGAAACCCTTGTCCTTTGTGCGTCTTTGTCCATGTGTTTTATGTGTTTATTTTCTCTTGTCTTCAAATTTTACTTTCAATGTAAGTGGAAAAAACACTGAGTTATATTTGTCTCTTGCCAAATGAGGTATGTTGCAGCTTAAAGGTATTCTTTGACAGTGACCTTTTTGGTTTTCCGACTTAGGTAGCTCAGTTGGTAGAGTGCACAGCAAATGAAAAAGGCTTAGTCCCTACTGCAGTGGCCCAGGATCAAATCTGGCCTGTGGACCTTTGCTCCATGTAGCCCCCATCTCTCTCTCCCTCATTTCCTCGCTGTTCACTGTCCTATCAATAAAGGCTATAAAAAAGGGCCAAAAACCTATCTTAAAAAAAGTTAACAAACTCCAGCTATCAAAAGGAGGCTATCATATTTTTGTGTTGCATGATCCAATTTAATGTTCTGGAGTATAAACTGCTTCACCAAACAGAAATGGCATGCAGTTAATCAGGAGTCAGTAGCCATGTTTCCGTGGACTTGTCAAGCAAATTTTAAGCAACTGTTTTGAAATGACGCAAAAAAGAGAAAAGGATACGATAATTAGGTGCATTTCCATCTACTGTTTTGGAGTGAATAAACTAGGCTACAGCATAGTTTTGTCAGAAGGTATTATAGGCTACGTTACACATGGCTGTAATAAACAGAAGATGTAGAAATAACTATTACTAATACTATTATAACTATTTGCCAACCCAAATAAACCTCAAAGAGAATCATCATTTAAAATACGAAACATGGCTAATGGTACACTGTATAAATGCTAATGGTCTAAACTGTGTATGTATTGTTCAGTTAGCGACTGAGCCAGTCAGCTTGTAGTGACGGAGGTAGTCGAGCTACTACAATGATATTACAGTGTTATTTAATACCCCATAGTTGCTGTTTGAGTTTTTACTTAAAAATTACTCGCTTGATGGGGCGAGGGACAGTCCAGCAGGTGGCAGTAAAGCAGCACTTATGGATGCCAACTTCAAAGTAAAGCAATTTCAGTGACTGCAATAATTAACTGTTGAAAGCAAATGGCCCACAGTGATAAGCTCAAGTTTTATGCATGTATTAAATATTCATGGTGTTGTAGCTTATAAATAAACAATTTTAAAAAAGCGGTTGTGTGTTGTGTGATCGTGCGAAAGAAAGATAAGACAGTAAGGAATGCCCCAAATCTATCCAAAGCTCATTTGTCCTGATTGGATTCCACTTAATCTCACACTTTGCACTTCATATCAGGTTGGCCAGTGTGGACTAACCTGACTAACTCTCTTTCCTTCAGGAGACAGAGAGCTGGACAGAGGGACGTTCAGAGAAACACAGAGAGGGATGGCAGTGGAGGAGAAGCCGGGTGTGAAGAGCAGCAGCTCCATCGTCCCCTGCTTCCTGTTTGTGGAGGTAAGAAACATGAACGAGCTCTCTGTGATTAAAAAAAAAATGACACTCAACACTTGAAGGAGTTTTCCCAGGTGATTTTTCAAATACAAGATTGATGGACAAATATGAGGGGACACAACATCTCCACACCAAGTACCTTTATCCTGTTGGTGTAAAATAATAGTGAATGATAAGCCCGGAGGTATTTCTGGACGGGACTTTTCAGTTCCCTCAAGTCTTGATCATATCTTAGTTCGTGTTTCTCTGGAATTCGTCTTGTGATTTATCTCAGCGATTGCCTGTCCTGTCAGCAAGGAGAAACCTTTGTGTCTCTGAGATTTGACTCACTATCCAATCCCCCCAACTTGATGCACTTTCCTCTCCTCCATCTCTGCAATCTAAGCCTCAGCGGTAAATATTTCAGGCTGAACAGTACAGTTTGGGACAGCTCAGCAAACACGCGCTCTGCAACTGACATTCCCACTCGGTGTCACACATCCTGCCCTATTCAAGCACCAGGGGCAGCCGGGGCTTTGCAAAGTGGTTACAGTTGTTCTGTGGGGTGTGGAGAGTTTTCCAGCATATTTGTGAACTGCATGATTCATTGAGGTGGTTGCGGATGTCACAGCAGAGACAGAGTGGATTTTCAGCAGCTGTACTTTGAGCTTTGGAGCTGTGTTGTACAGATCATGCCAAAGGTCATTGTCTGTGGCAGACAGAGAATGCTCAGAGAAACACACCAACATGGTGCGGACACACACCACTGTATCCCCTGTGGAATAAAATGCTCCACATTTTCTTTGTGAGAGCAGTCAGACAGATGACTCAGAGGGCAACGGAAGCCCCATGGCCTTCATCAAATTGTAACTGAGGTGGAGAAAAGCACGTGGTAGTTAGACTATTTGTAATGTAATTTGACAAACCAAGCAGTCCAGAAGCTCAGTGGCTTCAAGTAAGCCAACCATCAGCTTTTCAGCTGCAGTAGCCCATGCATTCAGAGCATTGTTCTGTAACAGATGCATTGCAGGTGCGTTGTGATGTGATGTGATGCAGATGTTACATCATGTTGGATTTACATGTTTGGATTCACTTTTATACTGACAATGGATGTGCATAGGAAACTGTATCTGACCGTATCTGATATATCTTTGCGTTGTCATCCCTTTACATGAATGAAGTATTTTAGCATGCTGGTGTTCTAAAAAAACAACAGGAGGTCAGTTTGGCTGCCGATTTTGGCACACCTTAGCTGACGACTGCTGCCATTTGCACCAAAATTTAACTCATTCAAATCTGACCACACAGACACCATACACAAATTTTTAGACTCAATGTGACATTTCTCGTGGATGTCATTATCTCAAACATCCATAAATCCACTCAGAAATATTTGAAGAAAACTATGCAGTGATAGTTATCTGTATGTCTATCGGTACACTGCGAATAAGAAGTGCTAAAAGTTAATTTGGCATAGTTTTAATAGTGTCTGTTTACACCCTCAAAGCCACCAAATTATTAGAACTGTACATCCACAATTTAGAGCATTAATATCAGTAAAGAATAGTAATAGGACTTCAATCCATCGATATTAACTCTTTTCATGTTGCACTCTAAATATCTTTTGGGGAAAAACACATTTGATGAACAAGATTTCTTGAAATTCATCCGTTCCAGCACCCACTGTTTTATAGTTGGCTGCAAGTAAACTTATCATGAACTCAGAGGGATGTTGATGTATTTTATGCTACCCTTTACCTGAACACCTCAGCAAATCTTCGCTGTCAACCTACTGCACTGTATCTCAGTGTGTGCCTGGCCCCAAAGGACGGCCCCGGATACAATAGTCAGACTAACCTGCCCCGCCCATGTGAGCCTGTCTGTGAAACACTGGTCTCTGTGGTTATAATACACTGTAAAAGCTCTCCATTAGGCCACTCCGCCATATGCCTCCCACACATAAGCTCTCAGCCCTCAGGTCTCAGTCAATTCCCTCGCTAACTCTACATCTATGCGTGTGCGTGTCTGTGTGTGTATGACAGAGGGGGAGAGAGTATTTTTTATCTGTTTGTACTGGGATGGAGAACCCTAGCAAGCAATTAGGGCCAGGGAAAAGAGGCCAGCAGCTGTTACCTGTAATGGAGAGCAGTGAACAAGGTTTTCGTCTGCTTCTAGAGATGACAGCAGCCGGAGAAGGAGCAGGTAACAGTTTATTGTCCCTGCATATATTATATGCATATATTGATTTAAATAATTGATTACAAGTCAATGATTTAAACAATCACCTATATAATAGAGTAGAGAAAGTATAATATTATGAGGCGTCATCAAGGTTCCTTACTGTTTTCCAAATTGGCTGAAATGACACCTGCCGCTGGCAAATTGTATCAGCTGTGGCTAGCAAGCTAATTAAGCTAACATTAGCTTCATGAGTTAAAAATTCTGTCAATGGCTGACTTTTTAATAGTTATACCAGAATTGTTTAACTGAGATCCCTGTAACATGGTCTTGAAAAAGCACTTGATGGTTACTATACTTGATAATGTGCTAAAAGTCTGACACTAAAGCTATGTCCCACTCGTGTTGGAAATCAGGCGGCTGAGTCAGAGTATGAACTGGTTTTGAAGGAGTTCATATCATTACTAATGCCGTTGCCAAGCAGGCAGCAACATCACAGAGTTTTCGCTCTTTCATGTTCCTTTGTAAGGGTCCAATTACCATTCAGGCATCAGTTTTAGCAGAACAATGGCTTTCTAGCGCTTAAATCTGGAATATGATATTAGAAGATGCCTTCATATTAGAATGATATGACCCGTCTTTTAACCAGTATTATTTCCAAGAGTTGTCTTGTATATCATGACCCAGCCTGAAGTATAGTTTTGCAGACACATTTGAAAGTAGGATCTTATGTATTAGGAGAGGTAGGAGATGGTTTGATATATCTGAAGCAATGATGTGTTACTGGGAGAGAAAATCATGACAAACTGAAGAGGTGAAAATGCAAATGGTAGATTTTGGCATCTGAGGTGAGAACACAGTGTGAGGTACAGGCAGGCATTCAAACAGCAGATATGATTTATTTTGCACCGTTAATCTCCATTAAGCTACTTCTCAGTATTTTTTAATACTTAGTTGGCCTACTGCTTCTGCTGCTGCCACCCAGAAATATAAATTGGACTGTTTTCTCTGCTTTATAAGGTTTCCTGAGCATGCATACACGCTGTTAAACACACACACTTTCCCATTCATCCAACCGTCCAATGAAAACAATGGATAGGTTGCAAGGCTGTTGCAAGCCCACAAACACGTCCACAACCGCACCCCCAGTGACAGTTCAGAGAATACCAATCACATGCATAATGTTGCCTACATGTCTACCATGCATCCAAGCATCCTCCTATGAATCACTGAGCCACTCTGCTGCCTTTAACCACATTACATTGATTATTGACTGTGAGGTGCTTCAGTGGTTAGTGCTGTCAACACTGTAGCAAGAAGGACTGAGGTGTGAATCCTGGGCCTTTCGGCATGTTCTGTGATGTTCCAGGATTTTACGCATCCAAGTTTCTGGATACTGCAAGCTGCCCATAACTGTGAATGTGAGTGAGAAAGATGGACAGTCTATAGCCCTGCAATGGGTACATTAGCGTACCCCCTGTTCTTATGTATGCTAGATCAGTTTGAGTTCTATATGACTCAGTTAACGGAAAACTACATTAAAAACAAATCAATTATTCTCAACTCTCATATGTATGTATGTATGTCAGTGAACTATTAATAAGTTAATATTTGAGAAATGGGCTTTTGGCCACAAGGCCTTCAGAGGACTGACAAATCTGTGTGAGGAAAGATGGTGAGTAGCTGCTCACAACCACCATTAGAAGTGAATGTAAAAACACAAGGATACACACAGGATAAATGACAGTTTCAGGAATAAGCTTCTTTGCATTCTTGCCAAGAGGTACATGAGAATATTATCACCACTCGCATGTCTGTATGGTAGGGGAAACAGTGAACCTGGCAGGTAACAAAATTTGCCTATCATGCCTATCAGCACCTCTAAAGCTCACTAATTAATACACTATATCTCAACAAGTTGTGCTTTAACAGGGGATTATGTGTTGGCCTATTTCATGGCTGGACTTTCCCCTGTTTCCAATCTTTATGCTTAGCTAGGTTACCGCTTGCTGGCTCCAATGGACAAATATGAGTGTGGTAGAGTGGAAGATTGGCGGTTTGATCCCCGGCTCCTCTAGTCTGCATGTCGAAGTGTCATTGGGCAAGATACTGAACCCCAAATTGCTCTGGATAGCTGTTCCACCATTGATCTTCTTCTAACTCTCTGCAAAAAAAGCAGCTATGTCTAATAGGTTAATATGTCAAAACCTTTAAATCATGGTGAATGAAAAGTGGAGCTAAATCATCTCACCGTGTGATGAGGAAAGGTGTGGTACTTCCTATCAGCCATGTCCCTCCACGCCTTCAGCATGTGTGTGTGTGTGTGTGTGAGAGAGAGAGAGAGAGAGAGAGATGTGATCCATACCAAGCCAGAAGGACCTGCTCTTTTATTTAGCCCCACACCTCATCAGCAGTTACCATGGAAACCAATCAGCTAGACTCATTCTCCATCTCTGCTTCCTTTCTTCTGACTCCTTTCATCCTCCCTGCCCTAATCACAAGTCACAACCTTTCTGTCAGTGCTACCCACTCAGCCATCTTGTTCTGCGTGTCTCCTCCATTTTGCTCTATCATTCCTCAATTTTCAGTGCGATGCCCCACCAGCGCTCATCTTTTTTTCTCTGATTTTGTGCAGATTTCTGCAAATATCGACATCACCTTTCATTAATCCTGTTTAATGTGTAAACATCTATGTCATCAATTCCCCTCGACCCCATTCCGTAAAGGCTGATGATACAATAAGATGAATTCTTTAACCTTTTCACCTGGGGATCAAAAATGAATCATTTAATTTTATTTACATTGTAGTTTTCTACAATATTAATTTGCCGTTTGAACAGATCAAA